GTAATCATTAGAACAACCTTTTTAATTTAGAAGAAGAAAGTATTTACCAAAAGAAAAGATCGAGTGTAGTGAAAAGAAAAAACTTTGATTACGAAGTTTATTACATAAATATATCTGTATTAAAAGAATAAGTAAGTTATAAATGATTAATAAATATAAGAATGTATGTTAATTTAGCGGCTGTACTTTGTATCATTTTTGTCAGTATACAATTTGTATCAAAATAAAATAACATAATTGTGTCACATAATTTATTCATATTCAATAAATTTGAGCTACAAGATATATTCATTATGTACATCGTATTTATACGTCATAAATATTTAGTAACAATAAGCAACAATAACTGCGTACGGTGCAAAGTCCCGTGAATTTATAGACATAATTTATATTACATATACACTTAGTAGATAAGAGTCAGAGACAATGTCCAAATAGAAAATGACACAGGAAATTAAGCATTATGTGTAACGAGACCATCAACTTGTAACATAGCTAATATAATTGTTTTTGATGCCTGTGTGCTAATGGTAATAAATATTCACTTCAACTTTTTAAAACTTAATTTAGGCCATATGTATGAAGAATGTAAAATGAATAACGCTATATGTACAATTCGACAATACTACAAAAATTATGACAACACTTTAAATGAAGAAAAGTGATTGATAGCCAACACGAAACATAATCTTTTAAGGGGTTTTAATAAATGAATTCTAAATTTAAGCCATTAATTGACATTTGAATCCTAATCTTAACTAAACTGAGATAGAGAGCTTAGCACTGTAATAATGCCACACAAAAATGCACCATTTCACTAATCCGCTCCATCAAGTCACAATAATTACCGTTACACTACTAGTAAAATATTTTTTATAGACCTAAGATAAGTATAAAGCACACAAGAAAAATTGATATTTTAGTCTTGAAATGTGTACTGTATACTTATATTTGCGTAGATACATCTTCATCATTCTATTTGCTTGTAACGGTTTCGCTTGAGAGAAGGATTGCATTATATATGTATCTCATTGAACAAAGATCTCTTACAAGCTCACAAACGACACAGATAGTTCACTTAATTTATAAATTGACACGATTCAAAGACTTTATTATGAACAAAATGTTTTCACTTACTTCATTCAGATATTTTCTAGTTTTTGAAGTGATAACTTCTTACGGCAGGGTAAACCGCTTCGTTACGTAACGTGTTACGGCGCTAGTCTGTCTGGCTTCCCATCCTCTCACGCATACGGCAGCGGCAGGTAGGCTCCTCCTCTCTCACTCTAACCCACAGCGCTAGCCGTATTTTGGACAGAAGCTTTACATTAAATTTAAGTAATAACCTAAGCTTGAAAAACGTGGGCGTCCCGAGACGTAAATGTTTTATTATTAAATGTTTAAGACACCAAAGTTTAAGATTTCAACTGCAATTTACAAGGAAAAATATAGTTGACATTGTATCCATTGTTCAACAGAACCGAGTTTTTTCATCTTCCACAGACACAAATAAAGCTTTGTACTTCGCACTTCGCTTATAAATTTATTTTTGTCATATTGTAAACAACATATAGATATAATATTGGTATCTTACTTTAAAATAACACAATATTACAATAACACAGTTTTAAAAGTTTAAGTATAATGTATTACTTTAACATATTGTATACGTTGGTAATGTAAACAAAGACGGGTTTCTTTTGTAAAACCACGTTAAATAAGCGAAAAGGAGTCAAATGAATGAAAGCTTTCAAAGTTTTCAGTTTAAGCAGGTGAAAACAGCTAAATGTGGTGAAATGGGTTTCGCAGGCTGTTTTATCCTCCACTTTGTCTGCATCCATTTATATAAATACAGTTTTCTTATAAAACTTAAATTAATATTTTGAAGACAAAGAAATGTTATTATAATGAAAAAATACATATAGTTTTAGTTTAATATAGGTAAAAAGACTATGCTGTATTGCTTTGAAAAATGGAAACGGAATAACAAATTTCATGAAAAAATTAAACATTTCGCTAAATTTCATAATTTCACAACAGTCACCAAACTTCCTTATTACGTATTTGTTGCTACATATAATTTATAATACAATATTATTTTGCCAATATTTTATATAATTTTACAACTATATTGTTGTATATCCTTATCCCTGTACAATGTAATAAATATAATCTTATTAGAAAATACAAAATGCTCAGCTTTCATTTGCAAATAAAATTATTTACTAAACTAAGACTACACAATCATTCAGTGTCTCAATACCAAGTATCACTTTAGCAACGTCTAAATGAGTTGTATACGGTGACTAGGTAAAATACAGTTAGACCAGGCCAACTAAATTGATGCGTCAACCTACTTCTTTAGTTACAAATTAGCACGCAAAGCACCACAAACAGTCATCTAATACAGTAATAGATCGTAGATTTATTAGAAAATTTTAGCTAACGCATCAATTTCTGTGACAGTCTTTACTTGTTATTTATAGATACTAATATTTTACGAAATATATACAACGCATGATTGTTCTCTATATGTATTTTTTAATCCAAATTAAAAAATAAAATAATATTGATGTCATTACTTTAGTTTGGGGTCGGTAACATTAAAACTTGGATGATATGGTTAAATTTCATCGTATACATGATTTGATAAAACCAACCAGCCCATGAAAGTGAAAAGATACCTACAACACAAATAATATAAGGTTGTAATATATTTATTTATTTATTGTGTTAACTTTGAAACAGTTTTTTTGTAATATTATTTTATGGTAGGAAAACGAGCAGAAGTTGAAATTAAAATTAAAATTAGAGTTCCTGCTAAATTAACTTCTTTTTATAGTAGTCTATGCTACCTCATGCATTTTTTCTAACTTATGCTTCCGACTTATGTGTTTAGCAGCCATATATAAGGATCTTAAATATCTCTCATTGTATCCCATAACTTTCTGTAACATGTTGTAGAACTTCTTATTAATGTAAATATACACAAACAGAGCCAAAGCAACTCCTAATATGAATAATGTCACGTTTGAATTCTGAAATATAAAATAGACGCATCGGTTTGCAAACTTTGTCAATCGCTTTAATTTATTACTAAAAATAATTTTAAACAACTCTACCAATTATGCATGTTACATACAGTGCTGGTAGATATTTGAACCTAAAGTACTGCCTAAACAAGGATAAAATCCAGTTGATTTTTGGTTTCGCATGTTAATATAGTGCAACTACTACATAAAGATAGCATTACTGTTTGTCATCAATTCTTTATTCGAACAGTGGCTGAAAAATCTAGGCTGTTTTACGAGCAAGTATGATCGAACCTATTTTTTTTAATAATAAATTCCGCAAATAATATTAGAATGCTCTAAATGGAGAAAAGACAGATAATTCTAATGTAACCAGTATTTTGTGCTCCAAACAATATTTCAGTTCTATAATCAATTTTTTCATAGTGATTATATTATTAGCTATTTACAAAAAGGAAATGAGATTTTGGTTTAGTAAATTAACACATTGTTGTTAACACAGTGATCAAAAATGTATTCGGAATATTGTTCGCAACATTAGTCCCAATATTTAATTAGCCCAGTAATTGGTAAGCCACTGCATAAACTTAATTTTGAAGTTCATGTTCCCATTTAGCGCGTTGTACATAATATGAAAGCTGAATATTTGAAATGAGTATATATTAATACCGCCGTTTTGATAGTTATTTCTCGATTCGAGGTGAGTTCATGTTTAGCGAATTATAAAGAAAAACACAATAAATTTTACTATTTGATATAGTTTAGTCCATGATGGGTCTCATCAAAGAAACCTATTTAAATCAAATAATATCAAATATCGTCAAACAGTAAATCAATTAACTATTGTTAAGTATACTCTATGGGTAATCCTCGAGAGCTTATCTACGGTCCTATCATAACAATAATAATCCAGAACAAGCGTCCACGCGTTAAAAGCGTATATATATATACAAAAGTATTTCTATTTTAATTTGTTAATAATATACCTATTTAGTCAATGTTCCTGATATGTTAGGTCTTATTTAAAAACGACATACCTTAATATATACAACAAAGAATTCTTTATATCACCTTACATTGGAATGACAATATATGAATACTTGCTCTCATGTTAGTTTAAAATATCGAGTAAATTAACTAGCATTTTAAGAGGATATTCGCTTAAACGAAAATACATCGATACTTTGTAGTGTTAATATGGTTGCTGCACGAATCACCTAAAATAGGAATCGTCAAAGTACTTAATTCAGTGCCTAATGAAGTCTTATTAGTCCATGCTTTGTTTTATTTTCGATGTGTAAGTTTTTTTAATGGAAGAAGGGGCAAACTAGCTGAAAGTCTCACTTACACATCTAAATTTGATGTCTCGTCTAAACTAAAAGATGTTTTTTGAAATGAAATTGAAACTAAAGTTTCGATTCCTCTAATTTTTCATGTGTTTAACACTTTTTACACCAATATTTATTGGCGTATTTGTAATTTTCAATATTTCGTCATGAAACTTTTCGTTATTGCATGGCAGTAAAAGATGTTTATAAATAATACATATCCATCTAAATATCCTTAAAAATTACCAGTAATTTTCGAGGTGAAGAACGGAGAAGCATCGGTAGAACATTATAATACAAACATCATATAAAATGTAGCACGGAGATAAATGCTCTAACTTTGGTTACCGAAATTATCTTTGGATGCAACATGAGGTTCAAACTTAAATACTGTACGTAAATAATTTATTCTGGTTGATGGCACACGTTTCATCACAAAATATTATATTTATTCTTTATAGGTTTATCTCATATCTATATAGTCAGACATGTGAAAATTCAATACATACATTCGTTTAAGCCCCGTATTCGTTTTGAACTGAGCATTTATTTTCAAAGTTCTAGCACGTTCCACTTCAGCCATTAAATTCCTCACTAGTACAATTCCGTTTAAACACAATTTAAGAATAAAAGCGTTCTTTTACGAATGAATCATTTTGTGTGGCACGTTTAGTACAACACAAGGCAACAGGAGATAAGTTGTTAGCGTTAATCCGACAGCTGCATTTGATTTTCCAGCCGCCTGGACGCGGTCAGCTCTTGATCCTTCTGTCAACTCTCTTGACCTCGAGTAGCCCTTTATCTTCTCCCCTTGCACACTCTCTTCATTACTTCGCCAATAAACAGTCGCTATCGTTGCGAGACACTGTAACAATGTCATAAATTTATTCTTTATGAAAACCCGTAACTGAAACCATTTGACCCGTTTTTAGAATACATGAATAATGAGATATAAAATTATATGAAGTGTCAGTAAGTTTATTCACACTCGATTAGACAAGCACTTTATTAGAATCTAAGAATGTTGTTGATGTGTTTGATAAGCACCAATGGCCTGAATATTGATGGTGCTTTATATCTTGTATTCACTCGCAAATTATATTACGATTATATTATTATATTATTATTATACGATCGCTATGTGTTGTGTTACTTTTATTTTTGTTTTTTAGTGGTTTCGGCAAGTAATTTTGTATTAGGATAAGTTTTGAGTCTGAAAGTGTTTTATGGAATAGATATGAAAATTGAACATATATTTTTTTAAGCCAAATCATAGTTGACTAGTCGACTTTATTTTCTGAAGGAAGTTTGGTATTTTCAAAAGTTCCCCTTCGTAAACTGAGATAGATATGACTACGCTAGTAGATTTAAATAAACATAGTTTTCTGTAGTTACTTTAGAAATTGATGGACTCTAATTCTGGCACAATTCTACTGTATGTAAGACACAGTAAAATTGTGTCTGTTCATTAATGTTGTTTACTATCTTCTTAAAACATCTTAAAACAGCACACAACAATATTTAAGACAGATTCTTTGTTAGGACTACGGAACTCAAAAGGCTGCTTGCCTGGCTTTTATAAAGTAAAAGAATACATACTTTGAAATACAGAGTTATCAGAACCTAAGAACATTGGGGCTCGGTAAACCTTGTAGTGTGTCTAAACATTAAGATTTAATTTTTCATTTAACCCAAAAATATTGTTAAAATCTATTTATTGTTAAATAACTATTTTGATCATATTAGTATTGTTAAATATTATAATACCTATTCATTTATATACGTCTTTTTTGTGTTTAAAATAAATAATTAAAATCAAGTCATATAAAGTCAAACTTCTTATCAAGAGTGTACACTGACTCGATTTATTACTGGAGGGTAGTCAGCAGTAGTGACGGAATAATTAGTCTTAAAACTCATATTTAATTGTGAATTCTTAATTAGAAGATAGCAAATTAATTGTAGTCGTGAAATTTCGTGAACGTATGAAATAATACGTATACGAAATTTAGTCGCTTCATTCGTTAACGCTTTACATTCACACAGCGCGTGCTTTCTCATACGCATCAACGCGAAGACTAAATTTTATAATAAATCGTTTTGCTAAAATATTGATACAACTGCTAATGCTAAATGAACAAAAAATGAACCGTCTGTTGTCACGTTAAATAATAATAATAATAGAAAATGTAAATAATATGTTTATAAAGTAAATAAAGAGAATAATAATAATAATATATCTCACACATCTCACACATGGCCGTCTGATCCCATACTGGGCAGAGCCTGTACTATGATAACCAGATTATCAGCAGAAACATATATATATTTTTAAATACATACAAATTATAGATAAATTACACCCAGACACAGAACAAATGACCGTGCTTATCACACAATATTTATCCTGGGTGGGAATCGAACCCACGACCTCCGGTTTAGCAGTCAGGGTCACTAACACCTAAACTAACAGGCCAACCAACAAGCCCGTTAAGTACCAATTTCGCTCGGCAGAGTGACCGAGCGCGGCGCGATTTATGCTATTCCCGAGAGAGCAAAGGATTTTATTGTCTATTTTAAGTAATGCACGTATTTAAGATTGTTTATTGCGTAAATATATTTTTAATATCATCATTTCACACTGTGTGAACTTTACACTTACTTTTCTTTGAAATCTTTTATCCTATTTCTATACTGTTTCCTTGCAAAGAAGTAATTATTACTTTAATAAGTAGTTTTAATAATAATATCTTAAAGATACATCTTAGAGAGATGCATATAAGTGACATGCATATTGAGAGTCTATAAATATAACCTAAAAAAAAAGATGACGAGATGGAATTACAAAGGACAACTTGCAAACGGCAATCGGACGGTATGAAGTTCAATGTCAGTAGCTAATAATATGTAGGTATTTAAAAAAAAAATTAGATCTATATAGATTAGTACTGTTTTCATTAATAGTAATTAATACTTAAATGAAATACGAACTTCTTACAATAATGATTTTGCCGATTGTTTTAAGTGTTGTTTAAAACCGAAATGACTGTTGTTTATACTACTAACAACATTTAACGAGATTAGTTTAGAAAGAGTAATATTGTACCGCATCTAACCACAGGTACCATGTATTTTGGGTGCGGTCGAGTAACTTTGGCGGGTGAGGCAATATACGGCTACCTATTGAAAACTGATTAAAAAGAAAAATCAAGTAATTAAATAGACAAAAACTATGAAAATATGAATCTAAGAGCAGGTTTTCAAGTTTAAATATCAGCTTTTATTTTCCCCTGAAGGCCATTGAATGTTATGCAGCTGGGGCATCAAGTATATAAGATAGTTTGGCATGTCATGAAATAAATATTAGTAAGTTATTTTGGCTTCCAGCAACAAGTGTCATCTAACAAAGAATTATGTCTGTCGCTTCAGCATAACATCCGCCAACTGAAATGTCTTTACAAATGTGGCACTTCCTAGAAATAGCAAGCTTCTAACTTAAAGATTACCCATTTTATACCCCACTTCAGAAGCGAAGAATTTTTATATTAAAGGCTACTGCTACCACGAGTATTTAAAGTTTTATCATAGAAGATCGTCGAGCTACATCGAAGCAAGCAGTTAAAGATGAATTCGATTAGATAAATGTTTCGGTAGTTTTATATATTATATTTACAGTATCTCCGATGTCAGTGGTGAGGTCCAAATAAACTAGCAGAGTACATTTGAAAGATGTATTAATTTAGACCATATTATATATGTTTCAACTTTTACTTTGGAATTTTCTTCGTATTTGCACTGAAATTTGAATTAAGTGTAAATTATTGTTATCACTTTAATTCAGTAATAGATGTATCATAATGTACTTAAATAAACCTATTCATCAAGGCATGAATAAAAAAGTATAAAACTTCGTGTACCGATGTTATAATAAACGAATAACCCTTCTTTTTCTGAAAGTCTTGAGAAGGTATCATAAACAAAAGATATTGTTGGGTAAGTCTCCGTTTTCTTGTTGTACCATACATACCATAGTATATGTACATTTCCGACATGCCTACCTTTTCGTCGTCTAATTCCTATCTACTACTACTCTTCACAGTATTCAGTGCTTCAATTCGAAATAAGACGTTATACTAAAAGTTGAGAAGCATTTAAATAATTGTCATTCTCGTTAAAGTATACTGTTTAGTAGCAGCTACTTTTACAGAGTAAACACATGGAAACTTAAAATTATAAATGTTACGTGACTGATACACTACGCGATGAATATAATAAATCATACTGGAAAATGTGGTAAAATAAATTGATTATTATTAATACGTTTGGCATTAATTTGCTTTATACGTTGGTTGGATATAAAGAATTCAGGTTATAATAGAGTCAGTTAAGTTTATTAATACATAAATCTAGATACCATACAACGTTGAATGTTCCAAGTCGTTAAACTTATCGGGAACTTGTAAGACAAATTGACTGAGACACTAAGTGACGACTTAGAAAAATGACACATTTACATGTATTAATCTATATGGTTTTCGACGTACCTTAAGTTTCAGGTCTCCTTTCCTAAAATGTTTTGGTTTAACTTTGAAGTCCAATGCCAGACTTGTGGTTTGCATACCATCTTCATGCTCTTCATACGTTTGAGGGAGCAAGGTTGCAGAAGGCGCTGGCTCTCCATTGATATACCAGGCTAAACGTGTTGCTGGCCTGGATCGACCTGACGTACAGTTGACCTGAACTCGGTCGCCGATTTGGTATCTTAATCGAGATCCCGTGATTGTGGGGCCATGATCCGGTAACGCTGTATAAAAAGATTTATATTAGATTTAACAATTATTAAAGATTTTTGCTACCTGTTTTAAAAAATAAGTTTCTTACAATTCTTTTCTAGTACTTGTTTTGATTTAAGGAATGACAAGAGCTCCTGCAACTTCTTTGTTACTTTGTGACATTTTGTTACATTATGATCGTGACAAATATTGTTCATATTTCTGCTCTTATCATACCTTAAAGGTGAAGAATAACCAATTTTAAACGAAATATACATACATAGATTATAAAGATGTTTCTAAAAAGCCCATTAAAAAGCTTATGACTAAAATTGCGGAAATGTTATATAATTCAGTACGAGTAAGAGTAGATTCTGTCCGCTCTTTCCTAGGAACCAATTACGATTAGGATTATTAATGAACAATCTGATGTCATTTACGGACAACTTAGCTTATTATCTATTACGAGTACAACCTACTACACGACAATGATTGTTATCAGAAAGCTTGTAAAGCATCGATAATATTTTAATATATAATTGATATTATATAACGCCAAATTAATTTAGTAGTAATCATGTAATTAATACATTATAATATTAGGGAGCCCATTGAATTATAATGCGAAGACAATGTCGCTCATACTAAGAAAGCCGACGCCGCGACGTCTGATATGAATCTTAGTTACTAATTAACCAATTTGAGCGTATAAAATAAATATACTAATAAAATAACTTACCTAAAAAGTAAAATACGGTTTAAACGTATCATCAACGTATCAAAACTTTATGTTGATTTTATCAAATTAATGGCTTCCCAGAATAATAACGAACAACTACAATACGGCTTTTAAATAAGATTAATACGATAAAAGCACAATGCATTATAGGGTAAGCGAGGAAATAGCTTAGCTGATCATTTAAAAATAGAATAGTGTATGTGATTACTTAATTGTGTTGCAATTCTACCAAGTACCAAAGCAATAAGCTAATGCTTCTTCCATCTCGAAATTGAAATTCACTTTTGGAGTACATATGTCACGATGTGTTTCCACGTAACTCGCTACAATTTGGTTTACTAAAACAATATTGCTTTGTATGTATAATAATCGCAAATTAGGTATAATTCACATAGACGCAAGTAATACTAAATCATTTTTCATCCGTACAATGCTTGGTACAGGTTTCTCGAACATTGGATGGAAAATATGCATAATACCAATCATATTTTAAACCTATAAAACAAAGATGATTTACGTAGAACTCACTTTTATTTGTATTTAAATTTTTTATGTGTGATATGAAGTGGGTTCATACTCAATATGCAAATTAATGTTTAGATAACTTAAGATATTAATATTTTCAAATGGAATAAAACAATGAAGGTAAACTACCCTAAACATAGCACTAATAATAGCGGTAAAGTGATTGATAGGAGAAATTTCTACGATAACGAAAAGTTCATATTTACAAGAAAGGTGACCTCTACAGAATTTGTACCGTTTCTTTTAAATCTAGTAAAAGGAATGTAAGTATAGTGTATAAAATATAGCGTTCTTACCAACTATGACCATATCCGAATGGTCTGAGACTGTTGGAAATAGCGGTCGCTCCCCAGACACTTCACAGCGGTACCTGCCACCCGTCTCCAGAATGGCTGGGTACAGCGTCACATTAGCGCCGTTTGGACTTGATTTCTGTTACAAAAAGGATTTTGTTACCAGGTATTGTTCGTTAGTTCTGTTTCACATAGTTTATAGTGTTTTATGTTATACTTTACAAACATAAAAGAAGAGAGAAAATTGTGTGACAAACCGCGGCCACGTTGTTCGTCTAATTCAAGAGTATGTTAAGTTGGATCTTACTTTTCTATTGCTACTACCACTGTTACTAAATGTAGGTAATCCTAAGTTTGTAGACATAAGAGTAAAGGGTTGCGCACCAGAGAGGCACATTCTAGATGAAAATAACTGTTGGTAGCTAATTAATATTGTTTGACCTATATTACACGTTATTGTGACAGAGCAAGGGTAGCTTTTTAAATGATTTTTCTCACTGGATCTTTTTTAGTAATCCTATTATGTATTTTGTTGTATTTGCAAAAAAAAATATCTAAAATAAACTAGTGACGTTTGTCACAGTATTGCGATTAACGATAGTCAAGCCAAAATGTTCATAAAAAGAATGAATCTTAATAAAGAATCATAACACAACTAAATTTGCGGCCTAGCGTATATTAGTGGTAGCATTTCGAGATAGTTTCTTGACTCTCTCCATCTTAAATAGATTCTAAAACAAAACCTTTTTAACCTATTTATACTTGGCTTGTCACCAATGTCGATGATGACTAGATCCTATATACATTTTTACATGGAGCTATACATTCATCTTGATGTCTGAGCTGTTTTCCAAAATATGTAATCTGTCGGCTGCAGTTTATCTGCAGGGCGTCTGAGACCGGTTGTCGGGGTGGTTTTAAGTAGAAACTTCACATACTCCTGGCTTCTATGTCCCCGAGGAACCGGAGATCGGAAGGGATTTACCACCCAGTTAACAAAAAATAAATAAATAAGGTATCGCAAGTAATTAATGAGTTATGATAAAATGTATGTAGTATAACATTACATGCGAGTAGCCAAGTTTTAATGGATTAGCACAATAATAGGAATTGGTAAAATATAAGTTTTTATGACTTAATACCGCAGGGTATTAGGCTACAACGTGACCACGTACAGTAAAACGCTATAAAGAAATGTTGTCTCACTATAATAACATTAAATGAAATACGTAATTTATTTAAAAAAACGGTTTTATTAAAAAGAAAGAAAATGATGATAATGATGAAGAAGAAAATGTTGATAGAATTTCATGCGCACCACGAAAATTCTATCAACGGTCAACAACTTATATTATTACTTGGCTTTTAGTACATTATCTACATTATCATTATTTTTGTTTTTAACCCCTGAGGCAAAAGCGACGGGGTGTTATAAGTTTGATGTGTCTGTGTGTGTGTATCTCTGTCTCTGGTATCGTAGCTCCCGAACGGATGAACCAATTTTAATTTTGTTTTTTTCTGTTTGAAAGGTAATTAAATAAGTAAGATAAGGAATTAGTCAGGAGTGTTCTTAGCTATGCTTGATGAAAATCGGCACAAGATGGCCGCTGCCACAAAATGGCGGACTTTATATTTTTACAAAACTCCCTCAATATGGGTATTAAAAGAAAGAGCTTGACTAGTAAAATACTATACACTATGAAAAATTTCAAATCCAACACATGTGTCGTTTTTTACCTATTTTATTTTTAAGTTTTGGTTTATACTTCAGCACCTAATATTTCTCATCATCATCATCAACAGCCTTTAATAGTCCACTGCTGGACATAGGCCTCCTCTTAGAAAGGAGGTTAATATTTAATATGATGTTAATATTTATTTATTTATATGTTATATCTATATGTTAATATTTCTCATGCTATTACACGATATCTTTGCTGTTAATTTGTAGCAAGTTACTCCTCAGTATATCATTTCTTCGAAGACTTTACTCTACTCATTACATTTTTAGTTGTCGTGCCTCAAACAATTTTGAGCTTAAATACGCTCCTGCATAGTCTACAGTGCTGCCTTGCATTTTGTGCATAGTTGAAGTCCATGACAAAATAAGCGCAATAACCTTCTTTCAGCCTTTCATAATTAAATTGTAGTCAGCTTGACGCATTGAAGTTCGAATAATTTTAGCATAGTCGTTAATTAAAGTGAACTCATTTCGAATTTAAATTCCTTCAGGTTCATTGCCTCCAAATAATTCTGTAAATCTAGACTTAGGTGGGAGATCTATGCGCAAATCCCGATTGTATATTGACGAAGTTCTTTGTTTTGATTAGATGTTTAGATTTCTGTTTTGATGTAAATACTATCATCTAAACTTCTAAACTAAAATCCTTTCATTTGATTTCCATTTACCATATTAAGAGTATTGAAATGTTGCACACATGTAAGTATATTAAAGCCTTATGTGTGAATAGATAATATATATGTGTATGCCTACAATTCTTTTTCTGTCTTAGTATAGTATCAGCTTTGATTCATCGGTCGTGTTTTTTCTGTCATCCTTAAAAATTACCGTCATATTTCAAGCAATTTACAGAAAACAATGAATTATACACATAAACCTTCCTTATTAATCACTTTGTTCATTACCAACCATATGAAAATCTCTTCAGTAGTTTCTAGATTATTGCATTCATACAGATAGGCGGACGCTGTGGGGGACTTTTATCTATTATATGTAGTGATAGTGATTAGATGGTGATACTGACAATGTACTGTATCTCTAACGGCTTCTAAATATATGTTACTGACCTTACAAAATCTGTCTCTAGAACTTCATATTAATAATTAAATTAACGAAGAACTGTAATCTTGAAATTAAACTAATTTGATAGTCTTTTTAAATGATTCTGGGTTCACATATATCGGTTTTATGACGCGTAATTAGTTTTTTCACAAGGCGTTTCAAAAATTGCAAAACATACAGCCTCATGACTTTTATTATGGTATTGGAATCTAGATAGGAATTTATATTAAAACAATGAAGTTATGTTAATGAACGATTTTTTTTTTCCTTTGCTGAGCCATGCTTTAGCTGAGAATACAGAGTGTCACTACCCCTACTCATTCGAGCAAACTACCCAGGTCAACAGCACTGCAAAGAGAAGGAAAACTTGAAACAAATCCTATACCAACTCGTCTGGCAAGCCTGGTATAGTAGGCCAAAACCTTCTCTAGAGAGATCTATGGACATTATTTTTGTTTTTTTTTTCAGTGGACTAGTAAAGGCTGTTAATGATGATGATGAAGATTAGGTAAACAATAATTGTTAAAATATTGTTAATTATGTACCATAAAGACGAAAAGGCTGAATAATGAATATTTTTGTCATCTGTGAAAATCTGTCCAATCAACTTAGATTGGACAGATTTAGAATTCATTTATAATTAGTATGATTCACATGACAATTGGGAAAGCCATGATCGTTATGTATTTCTGTTGTGTCCAGTAGAACTAATCTGTAAGATGTGGTATAGGTGGCGATTGACACGTAAATAATATAATCATATAATCGTTCATCTTGTGTTTACGTTTATAACTATCAAGTAATAAAACGGTAAAAATACAAAGTGAAAATGAACATTATCATACCCGCATAAATCAAGTGCGATATTGTACTTCAATAGAAATATCCTTGAATCACAAATATACAAAAAGGGTTTGTATGACTTCGCCTGGTACGAAACTTTGGAAACATTTGAGTGTTCCCGAATTTATCGTTATCTTTGTTGAGATTTTTTATGAAGTTCTATTTGTATAGCCTATTTAACAAAAAAACTTCTTGTTCCAAAGAAAGTAATAAAAGGAAACTTTAGTTTTTATACTTCCTTGAGAATAAAGAGCTTATCCATACAAATAAATTATTAACACAAAACCCTATTATCAGTTAAGACTATCTCCAGTTCTTACAAACGAAGTATATGTTATGATTACAGCCTATATTAGAGAAAGTAACTATTAGGAAAGTAAATTTCCTTAACAAACAACCTTCATGATATAATTTTTAAATCATTTTTTTAATTAGAACTTTATTAAGCCAAGTAGGTACTTTTCAATTATATTATAATGAAGAAAAAATATTGTCGCATGTTGGCTGCTCACGTCTTATGAATTTCGGCTACAAAAATGTATTTAACTTTAATATCTTAGAAATTCAAACTTACAAAACAAAATGCAAGTATTTTGTAGCGGCCGGGCGGCAAAAGCGGATATATTTATGCTGTCTCGATTAATAAGTTATTTCTTGTATAATCATAAGTAAGTTTTTGATTTACTAATTATTAAAGTCAGTAATGTTAGTTATTTACTATAAATAGAACTTGTAATGGACAAGTACCCGTCTATAAAAGACTTAGTAATGTTTAGTGACATACTACTGGCACTAGTGACATCTGCAAATGTGTCATGAATGGTGGTACTAGTAGTAAAATTAAGCAAAAAACTAAAGAGTATTGTCCGGGAGTGATTATTTTATCAAATCTGTTCCTAATCCTTAAAATTTTGCTTTTAATCAAGCTGTTGCGGGTTCAAACCTCAAACCGAAGCAAGAATACTAGAAAAGCGTGAATAACATTATTTGTATCCTTTTTCCTTTAAATATAAGACAGGAATTTAATATCATAAGTACGTCGGTTAATTGTTTTATTGTCATTAGCCCTCCCCGCAGGCGCTCTGGGAGTCTTCAGCTCGTATCCACAAATTAGCTGAAGATGTAAAATGCGTAGAAATTTCAAAGAACCTAAGGTTATTTTCCTATCTGAATTATATATTCTTCATACAATTTGTATTAAAATTTACTTATCTTCAATTACTCCTACGTTTGTCATGCCACATTTTTTGTAGTTAAAAATAACTAAGTTAAATAAAGAATTTTAATAGTGGTTAAAAAAGTAAAGAAGAATATCCTCGAAGAAGACCTCGATAGTTGCAATTTATCATATTGATAAATTGCAACTATCGAGGTCATGAGTGGACTGTTAAGAGTTCTAAGCATATTTAAAAAAAGGTTTCTAATGTTAAAGCGCTGAAGAAAACCTGCGAAACCTTTCGAAATAGTTTAAGGATAAAGGGTTTAGGTTAATACTAGTTTAAGCGGTCGCCACGCCTCTTCCTATTACGCCGAGTGTTGAGGGTTCAAACCCCACATGGCACAACACTTTGTGTGATCCACAAATTGTTGTTCTGAGTCTGGGTGTACTTTGTGTCCGTTTCATGTATGTTTGTAAAGTGCCCCGCGACACAGGATTTATTCCTAGTGCGGGAGTTGTCGGCAAAAAAAACAACTAATGACCAAAATACTTATGTGAGCTTGGTCATAGACAGAGTTCAAAGACAATCATTCATAAAAAAAATGAGTTGCTATATTAAGCTTCTTTTGCAAGTTAAAATACAGTGATGTCAGGTATAATATCTTTGTACAAGCAAAAGACTAGGGCAAACTCGAATAAATCCCTTGTCTACCTTAACTAACGGTTCGATCTATATGCATATATTTAAAGATCAAAACTTTTTTGATATTATTCAATGAAACACATATTCATCAAAATTGCTGTAACCAGTTATTTATCTGTGTAATAATTCCTTGTAACTTCTTCCCTTGCTCTGTGAGTTATCGAGTTCCGTAACCCATAAAACAACTGTATAACGTACTCGTACAGGCGAATAGGTAGATATCGCATAAAAACTCGGAATGCAACATTTATTTGGGGATATTGTTTTCATTACGTTTTATATGTTTAATATATATAGAGCAATAAAATTTGTAAATGGAGTGTAGATGATAAGCGACGGTAGCTAAATAAAGGAAAGTATAAATGAGTACCACACGCGAGCGAGTATGTTTACACCTGTGCCTCTTCACCTCGTAATATCCGGTCCAGTTTTATATTGTTTCCTCTCGGGGAGACCTAAGCAAACTCGACTCATGACATGATTTATCCAATTATACGATTCTACTGTAAAAGTTCATCCGCATTATCTACTCACCCGCGGCATTTACACAATTGTTTAGACTTGCAACTTTCGACGGAATAACAGATCGTTTCACGAAGTATGTTCGTCGTGAACCTTTTGAAACTCACAGTTACACGGAAAGATATTAAAAGTGTGACATGAATATCGATTCCACAGAGGAACTTCTTATGCGGGCTGGCGTCTCACTTACCGCAGTATACGTCTCTATATTAATTTTTGTTTAAGTAGGGTCTCAATTTTCCGTTAGAAAGGTATTACTTTACTTTTTAAAGATATATAGTATAGATAGTAGATGTATAGTATATAATATGTAATTATATATATAGTATTACTATCGAATCACTCATAGATTAAAAAGTTTTTTTTATGGCAAAATTTACACTTAGTTCTGGACAAAGCAAATTCAACATAAAATACTTCACTATACTACCACAATTCAAATGTCAACAGTCACATAACTAACAATTTATTGCCATAAATATTTACGAATAATGGTATTTTAGAGGCGGCTGGAAGAGAACGTATGGAGGCTTTTTCTTAATATTATTTATTACAGTATATGAATGTATATTCGTGTATATGTAATTATATATGTAAACATTACTTAATATACAGAAGTTGTAAATGCGCACTACACGCTACATATTAATATAAATTCACTACTTTTAACAAACTACTATAAGTTCATCTAAATGTTCTAGAAGAGATTGCAGACTGCGATAAGGCCGCCCATTGTATCACTGTTTTTTTTGTGTGTATCATCGCATGTATCCTAATTATGGTGTGTAATAAAGAGTACCTATCTATCTATCTATCACTAATTGGTACAGCATATATTATTATTTTGCGAGAGGTTTTAAAATAATACATAAAGTACATGGAGATATAAACATACATCAGAAAAACTCAGATCAAAATCATCGTTAATTATGAAACAAACAATACAGGAAAATTATTGTTCTGGTTCTGGATAAACGTCATTTATGATCGTATGTTTGGGCTTCGGTAATTTACAAAATACTTATTAGTGGTGAGTATTTTGCATAGTAGCTACTTAACTACTACTGGCGTTATATGTGTCTATTTACTGGACTGTTAATTATTACAATGATTAGATATAATCCATTCTAGTTTTGTTATAGAGCCAATATTATTGCGATTTTTAAGAAATATTTATGGTGTCATCATCATCATCATCATCATAAACAGCCCTTAACAGTCCACTGCTCTATTTAGACCTCTCCTTACAATTGAGGTTTTGGCCTACTATACTACTCTGGCCAGACGGGTTGGTATAGGGTTTGTTTCAAGTTTTCCTTCTTTTTGCAGTGCAGTTACACAGTACAGTTTGCTCCCTTAGTCGGCTCTTACGACACCCACGGGATGAATAGGGGTGGTGACACTCTGTATTCTTAATCCGTCACCACACGGACAATTATCTATAATTATTTATGGTGTATTCCGTCTGAAATCGGGATTCAATCAGGGTCGGTCTTTGTTAGCATAGTCAATATTACCATAGTAAGCTTGTTTCGAGCATTGTATGCAAATCTTTGTAATCAATATTTTCATTAATTTTTTTGGAAAAGTGGCAGTGTATTAACAACGGCATTGAGTTGTACGAAAAGCGTTCAACGTATTGTCAGCATAATAATTGGCACAATATAAATACATTTTCAATGTTATCACTTACAGCCTTAATACAGTTTATAAATTATGAAAAAATACTGTGAACCTTGTAAAAGATTGTTTCGGTTTTTTGTCGAAATAGGTATTTAATGTACTCTTATTTATGCTAGCTTTATTTTTTCATTGTCGGTTAATGACTTTTCACTTTAATATTTTTTATTGGTAAATAACAAAATAGTCTAATAGGTATAACTAAATAGGTTTTGAATGATAGCAAAATGACAGATTACTTCATATACTCATTCTCGAAAAGCCGTGACGCAGCATTGCAGTAGTTTTCCTTGACTTTCTTCTTTAATTGTTTTATATTTATTTATACATTATTTAATAATATTTTGTGCTATATTTTTATTGCAACAAAAACTGGTGATACTTTTCATCGATCACCAGTTTTTTGTTGAATTTCCAACACAGGGTTCTGAAAGTCCTTAAAGCACCCAACATGCAAATCAGTTAATGTGCATCAGTTTTCTTAAGTTCTTTTAAATTTTTTTCTTCCACGCACCCGCCAGAACGAGGCTCACCTTTGAAGCTTTCCTTGAACCGTTGAAATTCGCTAACCATTTCTAAGCTATAGATAATGGTAGTGCAGTGTCTTGGTAAATAGTGGCCATATTTGCGTCATTGGTTTTCACCTTTGGCTTGGCTTTGTGAGGAATTATGACAGTGTGATGTTTATTTTTTTTCATCACTTTTATATTTTTTACTGAGGATAATAATAATAAAAGAAATGATCATAAATTAGTGCAACTTTATATTTATACCCTAAAGTGATCATCATTATCATCAACAACAGCTACCAAATAGTAAACTGCTGGACTTAGGCCTCTCCTTAGGAAGGAGGGTTTGGCTTACTATGCCATACTGGCTAGACGGTTTCAAGTTTTCCTTTTCTTGGCAGCGCTGTTGTCCTGCAGAGTTTGCTCCCTTAGTCGGTTCTTACGACACCTACGGGGTGAACAGGGGTGGTAACATTAGGTATTCTTAATTCTTATTGGTGATAGATAGTGGTATTAGCAAGTTAGATAACAAAGTTAGAGTATCAAGAATATTATTGTCTTGATAAGTTCGCATTAAGAATATTCTACCTTCCATTACCAAAGAGAGTATTTTCATCATTTCAAGACTTTGTGTAAAGGCCTAAAATTTAATAAAGACAGAAGAATAAGCCTACGGTTACACGTTAAAGAATATATAAATAATATGTTGTACTAACTTCGACGTCAACACCAGGCAAGGGAAACTTCCTCCGTGGTTCCGTATCTCTTGGCACATGACGAAAGAACTCTTTTCCGTCTTTGTACCATTTGACGGAGTAAAGCACGTCGGTAGGGCCCAGCTCCCAGCGGCAGAAGAGCTGTGCACGTGCGCCAAGGGCCACGTGGGCCGGTACGCGCAATTCTAATAACTTCAGGCTGGCCACTCCATAATCTGCAAAAAACAAGACCGAAGTGAAAACTTAAACAATTACGTGTGTATTTTTTCCGAAGTGCCGACATGAATATATATCTATGTTGTACGTACACAATATATGTTTATATTATATATGATTATATTATTAATATATTTCAACCCAAACTTAACTCTCATTTAAACAGGGCCAATACATGTAGATATTTATATACAGAGGTGTCGGTAACGGTAACAGTGTCGCAAATTCGATGATTTTTCTCATCTCAATAATATATATGTCTTTTTTGTTCAACCATAAAATACATGTTTAAAAATGACCAAAGTGCCTAAAGAAGTTTTCACTTCAAAAACTATCCTTGAAGCTGGTTGTATATCGTGTCAAAATTATAGCTCAATCGGTGTACAAGTTTTGAGTATTTGGAGCGTATACAAACTAACTTAACATTTTTATATGAATAGATTATGGTCAGTCTAGAGACTATAAAGCTGACGCGAAGCTTTCTACATATAATGCATTGTTACCTTTAGTTAATCACTAAGATATACAAGGCACTAAAGTGCAAGATGGCTATGCCACTGGGCGTCGCTGCTGCCGACGCCTCGTAATTCCACCATTATGGCGATTGCCAAAAGCTGCCACTAGCCCCACTTCGAGGGCAGTAGAACTCGTTGTTATTATATTGTTAGCTTGGCATATAAGCGATTTGTGGTGGTGGTAACTTTAAGCTTATACTGTTCTAAATAAGGAATAATCAAAATCATTTGCCTTACTGAAACAAGTCATATTTAAAACAATAAGACTTTTACTTATTACTTATTTTTAAGATCTCGTACATTAGTGTCATGTTTCGTTTGAGGCCAAATTTGCATTTATGCAGTTTCAATTGAAGTATAAAGCTTAGGTTAACAAAAGCTGTTCTACGTATGCAGGTAGTTGCGAAAGTCAGTACCTACGTTTTTTTGGTTGTAGGTAGCGTGTTATGAAGGCAAAAATCCATTAAACGCCACGTCAAATAATTTCCCAAGTGACGCTCGCTCGCGGCCCGTAAAAGAGGCACTATTGCCCTCGCCCAGCGGTGGATAATATTACTTTACGACCCGCGGGGCGGAGCTCAAATGTAAGTAAATTGGTGAATAAAGACAACGAGAGCGCAAACAGTAACAGTGAACGGCAGATGCCAATATTAGCACAACAATTTAGGGTGAAGAAAAATACCATAGACGAAAGTGCTGTGATACTTTGATTTGAATACTTGAATATAAATACGGTAATTTGCTAAAACAAAAAGTTATGAATGTTATTTTGGATTTGGCACACCATATTCTTTTTGAAACTTAGAATCTTGCTCGAAACAATACTTAGTTATTAGGACCCTTTTAATTATTGCGAACGGCTTTAGTTGATCAGTGAGAAATTAAAACTAAGTAAGAAGACTTGAAACCCAACGAATTCCTGTATATATGTAGCCATCTTTTAAGAATTATTTGTTCTTTATAAAAAAAAAAACAATTGTTGGTAAAATTATTCATAGCTGTCGTTACTCTTCCACAAAAAAACGCAATCTTTATATTTGTCCGTCCGTCTATCGGTCTGTATGTCAACCCTTTATCTCGAGAACGCGTGGGATCGAGTTGAAATTAAAACGATATACTCAAGTCTACAGTTCCTTGAAGCTGTGAAAAAATCAAACTTCAAGTTAACGTAAAAAACAGATACGGCCGATTATGCCGCAAAAAACCTATATGTCGACACTGTCAAAGGAATCAAAATTCATAGGGTACTTCCCATTGACCTGGAACTATGAAATTTAGAAGGTACCATCGTCTCATACTACAAGTACAGGGAAAAATCTGAAAACTGTACATTTGTAATTTAATCATAAAATATAGTCTTTATTTAAAGTACGTAATCAATCATCGAGGTACAATTTCACTTATTAAATACAATTTAATTATAGGTTTTGGCAACTCAATTTCGGGAAAAGCTCGGAAAAACAGGGAGTCTCGATTCTTGAACTATTTATAGTATGTACCGATAAATTTGTACGGAATCCTCGGTGGGTCCGATTTGCACTTGTCCGGATTTTTGCTATTATTATTCGGCAAATTTGATAATATTTGATTTATAAGGTAAAAGCTTCTTATAATTTCACCACGTAACCGAGAATGAGGTACTTTTAATTAGTACTGTTTAAATTTCTTTTCTGAAATTCCTTATCCATTAGCAAAATGTGCATATATTATGTATTATCTCAACCCACCAATATTTATTTATTTAGTTAGTCAAAGTACTTGTTATATATACTGCAAACATTTTCACTATGTTACCGGAGAAGTATAATCCGTTGATATCTAATACAAAATTGTTTGATACAAATATTAATATTTACAATAGAGTACGACATACAAGCAGCACATTTACCTTAATAGGTGGCTAGGCACGCAACATTGAATAGGATACTTGGCTAGTGCACTTGTGTGAAGGCGGAAATGGTGCTAAGTGAAGAGTCCGCAGACGATAGCGGAGTTCGTCTGCAGTAGATAGTGCACAAACACACTAACATTGTAGTCTCTTACTAGTAAATACATTTTGAAACTTTAATCATTTTTAGGTAACCAACAAACATTTATTTAGATCATCAATCATCAACAGCCTTTACTAGTCCACTGCTGGACATAGGAATCCTTAGGAAGGAGGTTTTGGCCTACTATACTACGCTGGCCAGATGGATTGGTATAGGGTTAGTGTCAAGTTTTCCTTCTTTTTGAGGGGCTGGTGTCCTGCGTTGTTTTGCGCCCTTAGTCGGCTCTTACGACACCCACGGGATGAATTGGGGTAGTGACATTCCGTATTCTTAATCCGTCACTACACGGACTTATTTAGATACATTTAAAATATTCTTACAGGAATACTCCCAAGGCAATATTGCAAGCAATATGATTAATAATCTAAAATCTAAATTACATAATTTATAAATGATTTTAAACAAATTATTATTAATGGAATTAATGAATAGACATTATTCATATGTCAGAAATAACACAACTTTGCGCTACTTCTGTGAATTTTGGCAGGCTACAATAATAAATGGGGGTATTTGTCGCAATAACGTTAATAATACGTATAGCACGTGACAAGTGGGCAAAGGACAATGGCAGGTCCCCATACATAATTTTATTTGAACTGAAATGTTAGCGTTTAAATATCAAAAAATCCTTAACACTTAAGAATTTATTCTTGACCATTCTCATATCAAAATTACTTGCGAAAGAAGTCTAGGAAAAAAGATATTGGATTTTGAATGTTTCGAGGTTAAGTACTAACATATTGTTAATGTTTTGTTTGAAACTAGATGGCGTTGTGTGACAGATAGCCGAAAATATTATTTTCATTATTATTACAGTATATTAAATAAAAGAAATAAAAGCATAACATCTATTCGAGTTTAACACTAAATTAAACAAAAATAAAATAACAAACGTGGTGAGTCCGGAACTTGACAGGATCTAAACCACAGATTAACAGATATGTACTAAACGACGACGTATCGACATTTTGAAAATATAGATGTATGTCTATTTATGTGCCGTTATCAATGACAATGTATTTTTCTCATCACACTGTGTAGTGGAAAATAACGTAACTATATTCTATTTCTTTAGTGTGTTTAAAATCGTTTAAAGAGAGTCAAAAATATTTTAAATCATTTCTAATTATGTTGATTCAGTCACTCTACCGTACGAGTGAAGACGTGGGCAGAAGCAAATTCATAATCATAATAGTGAACCTTCGGTAAATATTTCAGCCAAAGCTATAAGAATCGATTATCGAAAAATTGTTCCATAATATAATATTGCCACCACGCATCCCTAGTCGGTTATACGTGATGGCGAATCTGACATTACGTACTTAGGTCAAATAAAATCTTCAAAAATATCTTATCTCTTATAAGACTTATACAACACATGGTGGTGTAATGATAAATCATAGAAAAAAAATTGATTAAGTTTACTGTGACTGTGACTGTGGTAAATATGTTTCTGCCATTGTTCTTTGAGCATGAACACGTAGCAAGGTCATCGAATGTCGCTTGTCTCTACCCCGAAACTAACACTTGACATGACTCGAGGCAACCTGTCGGTGTTGTACTCATCACACGATAAAGTAAGTGGACTTTTACACTTAACTTTTCAACTTACACTCAAGAATTGATAATTGATTTCCAATTGCCAGGTCAAATACAATATCGATGGTTTTGAAGATACACGTAGCAAGCTCATCGAATGTCGCTTGTCTCTACCCCGAAACTAACACTTGACATGACTCGAGGCAACCTGTCGGTGTTGTACTCATCACACGATAAAGTAAGTGGACTTTTACACTTAACTTTTCAACTTACACTCAAGAATTGATAATTGATTTCCAATTGCCAGGTCAAATACAATATCGATGGTTTTGAAGATACACGTAGCAAGCTCATCGAATGTCGCTTGTCTCTACCCCGAAACTAACACTTGACATGACTCGAGGCAACCTGTCGGTGTTGTACTCATCACACGATAAAGTAAGTGGACTTTTACACTTAACTTTTCAACTTACACTCAAGAATTGATAATTGATTTCCAATTGCCAGGTCAAATACAATATCGATGGTTTTGAAGATACACGTAGCAAGCTCATCGAATGTCGCTTGTCTCTACCCCGAAACTAACACTTGACATGACTCGAGGCAACCTGTCGGTGTTGTACTCATCACACGATAAAGTAAGTGGACTATTACACTTAACTTTTCAACTTACACTCAAGAATTGATAATTGATTTCCAATTGCCAGGTCAAATACAATATCGATGGTTTTGAAGAAGTAATTAACAGCACGTGCTCGTGCAGGATTTCGTGTTGTGTGTGTTCATTCACCTACAAGTGTCCTTTTGTGCTGTTTCGACAGAAATTATTCATATATTTATGTAACATAATTTAGAAAACTAGTTTAAATTTTAATAATTTTATACAATTTGTCATTAAAGGTGTTAGGTATAAATAAACATGGATTGCTGAGTGATTGGATTGGTTTCTATCCTTGAACAAGAAGTGCTGTAAGAGTAATAAATAAATAATGTTTTCCTTTTCTCTATTATACGCAATCAAAACAAAATCATTTAATAAACGTTTTAGTATATATTGGTGCATTGATTATGCTTCCATTAACCTACTTCAATTTTTAGCCGATTTCAAGATAAAGAAGGTAGTGCTAAAGTTATATTATACTTATGTTACGTTAGTGAAGTGTAGATGTTATGTTCTTAGCTTAAAATGAAAAATGGGGAAAAGATTTTAAAAACCCATTAACGGGCATTAATTAACCCTGAGATGCACCTAGTATGCGGTGTGGCAGGTGGCGCCGTCCTGTTGAAACTACATGTTGTCCATGCCATCCAGTTGAGGCCACAAGAACTTTGTGATAATATTCATGTACCGAATGCCGTTCAAAGTCACTGCAATTTCGCCTCATCTTCAAAAAAGTAAGGTCCAATCACGCCGCTTGACCAAAATCCGCACCAGACAGTTGCTCGTTATAGGTGCATTTGTTTCTCATAGATTGCATGAGGATTTTGTGAGCCCCAAATTCGTCAATTTTGTGTATTCACGTAGCCATTCAGATAGAAATGCTCTTCATCGGAGAAGATGACTTTTTTGAAAAATTGGCATCGATTTGACTTTGCTCCATTACCCGAATTAAACGATTTGCGCTTTCCATGGTCTGCTGGTTTGAGCTCCTGAGTT